AGCCCGAGAAATGAATTTTTGAAGAAAATTGTTTAACTGAAATTTTAAGAGTTTTTGTAAATTTGAATGTATTGGAATTTGATGGTATCAGGCCCATATTTTGGTTCTAGAACCTGGTACAGATCTTATATGGTATTTAAGTTGAGCCCGTAAAATTTGGTAAGAAACGGACTTGATATGACGTGAATCGAACCTTCGGTTGATAAAATTTGAACTTAAGAATTCTTGAGATTTTTCTTCGATTTTTATGCTAAATTCATAGTTATTGATATTATTTTGATGATTTGATCATACGAGTAAGTATGTATGATGATTTTGGACTTGCGTGCATATTTGGTTTGGAGCCCCGAGGGCTCGGGTGAGTATTCGATAGGTCACAAAGTGAAATTGGACTTAGGAGCAAGTGTTGGTATCTGGTATTTTTGCCCAGGCCTCTGATCTCGCAATTTTGAGATTAGGCTTCGCAATTGCGAAGAGGACATGCTTGGTAATTGCGACCCTAGTGTCGCAAATGCGAACCAAGCCTGGTCAGGCCTTGGTCGCAAATGTGACACTTCCATCGCAAATGCGACATCGCAAAAACGACAAGTCCCTCGCAAATGCGAAGGTGACCAGATTTCTTTATGGTCGCAAATGCGACATATTTTTCGCATTTGCGAAGATAGCAGGCCCTGGTCGCAATTGCGATATCTGCAACCTGCTAAATCATAACTTAGCCTAAAATTTCTCATTTTTCAAACTCTCTCAAACCTAAAACATCTTTGGGCGATTTTTCAAAGAGAACTACTCTTCCAAATCGATTGTAAGTCATTTCTAACTCATTTTCTTTAATTTATAACATCTTTTCACATGATTTCAACTCAAAATCAAGAGTTTTTAGGGGGAAATTGGGTGTTTTGGGTAGAACCTAGGATTTTTAATTTTTGGGGATTTGGACCTCGATTTGAGGTACGATTTCAAACAAATTATATATTTTAGTTCGTGAGTGAATGGGTAATCAGATTTTGGTTCGAACCTCGAATTTTGACTATGTGGGCCCGGGGTTGATTTTTCACTCTTTGGCAAAATCATTGGAAAACATATTTTCATGCATTAGAATTGATCCATTTAGCATTTATTGATATCGTTAAGTAAATTTTGGCTAGATACAAGCGAATGTGGTGGAAATAAGAGGTAAAGCGGTAGTTGAGGCTTAATTGTGTTCGTGGCTTTGAAGTAAGTGATTGGTCTAACCTTAGCTTGAGGGATTAGGAGTCGTGTTTTATTTGCTATGTGTTAATAGTTGAGTACGATGTATAGGCATTGTAACAAGTATCTATACGTTGGTGTCAAGCATGCCTGTGAGTCTTATACTTTGACTAATGTGACTCCGTTTTATATTGTTCATGCTTTATATGATGATTTATATTGTTGAACAAGGCTTGTGGAAGTATTATTGGTAATTGATCATTGTAGAGCGTTGACTCAAGTTGAGAAATGAGTTGTGAAGAAACTTTGGAAAAAAGGAGAGAAGAGGTTTATATTGTCTTCCTTACCGGGATGTTATTGCTTTTGATAGTATCTCCCTTGTCGGGAGTTTATTATTTATGACATTGTTTCCTTTACCGGGATATTGTTGTTATGTTATTGTTCCCTTGCCGGGATTTTATTGAAATATTATTGATTCCCTTGCCTAAATTGCTTTGTGATTGTTGCTTCGGTTAGGAAGAGTATAAAGCACAAAGGGTGATACCGTGTATGATTTTTGAGAGTGTTCATGTACGAAGAGTGATGTCGTGCCGATATTGTGAGGTAAAACTACGAAGAGTGATGTCGTGCCGCACGATGTACAATTTCGTGCCATGATATGAGTGATAATGCACAAAGGATAATTCCGTACCATGATTATGTGAGGTAAAAACACGAAGGGTGATGCCGTGCCGATTTTATTGATTCTTATGGTGAGGACGAGAGTAAAAGCACGAAGGGTAATGCCGCGCACTTGCCTTTGATATCTGATTCTTGTTGATAATTGGATTATGGTGTCCTTTACATTTATCTACTGTTTTTCTGTTGATACTTATTGTTCCCCATAGCATGTTTCCCCTTCCCATCTTTAACTGCTAGTTTCTGCTTTTACTTTTCCGCTGTATATGATTTAACTACACATATTTATTTGGTAGTATTGTCCTAGCTTCGTCACTACTTGCCGAGGTTAGGCTAGGCACTCACCAGCACATGAGGTCGGTTGTGCTAATACTACACTCTACACTGTGTGCAGATCCCGGTGCTGCAGCTTTTGGACCACAGTGAGGTTATTGTCTTCAGTCCATTCAGGCGACTCGAGGTAGTCCTGCAGGCATCCGCAGGCCCTTGCGTCTCCTTCTATCTTTCCATTCTGTTTCTTTTATGTATTTAAGAGACAACGTTGTATTTATCTTTCAGACCTTATTTGTAATATTCCTAGACAGTCTGTGATATTGTGACACCAGTGCTGAGTAGCTTATGTTATGGATTGACATTGGTATTATTATTAAATTGTTACGTCTCAGTCTGGATTGACACCAGCGCTGTTTATATGATGTTTGTTCGCCATTGTTAAAGAATTAAAATATATGAAAAAGGTTAAGTAATTGGAACAATTGGCTTGCCTAGCTTTCACTAGTAGGCGCCACCACGACTCTCGAGGGTGGGAAATTCGGGTCGTGACAATATATATATGCACACACGTTTCATTTTACTACTTTAACTACACATATATCATATGTTAGTGTATTCATTATTTATATTACAAAAGTGTTAATGGATTACATTTGTATTATTTAGATAGTAAATATTAGTGTGATTCAAATTAAAAGTTTGANAAGATGTTTAGTATTAATTCTTCTATTTTTCATTCGTTCATCACTAATAATGCATGACATAGATCAATCGATATAGGTCGAGACATTTTGTTTTTACTATTAATCGATATAGGTCAAACATTTTGTTTTTAACATTCATCGATGCATCTAAGTAAGTTATAAGTTGATGAATCAATTTACAAATAGATATATTTGATGATGATCAATTAAATATACTAATTAGATTATTGCTTCTTCACAAGTCTATCCCCAAAAGAACCCGACCTTATGGTCCTAGCGCTTCGTGTTCTTATATATATACGGCTACACCTATATATATATACATACATACATATACATACACACACACTCTTCATTGTAATATTTTAACTATATATAGCTTGTTATAGTATATGTTAGTATATTCATCATTTGTATTACAAAATAAAGTGTTAACGGATTACATTTATATTATTTAGATAGTAAATATAAAAGTGATTCAAAAGTTTTACCAATGTTGACCTAATAAACGATCGACTTTGGTCGGTTTCAGGAAATAAAATATATCGGCCAAAGTTGGTCGGTAAATTCTTCCCCTACATTAACCGACCAACTTTGGTTGGTAAATTTAAATATAAATTCTTTAAATTTTATGAAATATTTTAAATAATAATATATTTATTAAAATTTAAAAAATTAGATACACATTACCGATCAAAGTTGATCGGTAATCAAAAAGTTTCTTTGACTAAGCAAGTTTGACCAGTTTGGTCAATAAGTTGACCAATTTACCGACCAATTTTGGTCGATATGTAATTTTAAAAAATGTAAAATATTTTTTTTATTGTTTCCGTTCATGTTGGACGGCTTTTTGGTCACTTTTATTGACCGAGCAATGTTGATCGGTACGGCTTGATCGGTTTTTAACGGATTTCTAGCCGTGTTAAAGTTCAATACTTTAACTTATTAAAATTTTATGGTCAAACTTCAACTTGCAATTATCTCACTTTTCTCTTTATCATGAGCAACGTGTAAGATTTTTTTTATCTCAGTCAAATTTGGTTGCTTTTGAGATCTTGTCACAGAAATAACTATCCTACTACTTTGTTTCATGATGAACGTTTTGACTTATATTTATACCGTTTCTCCTCCATCTTAAATGAAAGTTGCAACTTGCAATGGATAAATCCATTTATAATAAATGAATGGAATTGAATTAATTTAATCTTAAAGTTAATCCTGCTTCTTTTCATGGCTTCTCCACTATCAAATTCTTTTTTGTTACTGCTGTGACTATGCTAGTCTTAAGCCGATAGTACATCCGAATAACTTCTTTATCTTTATAAGGTAAGAATACAGATTACGTATAAACTACCATTCCCACACCCCACTTGTAAAATTATATTAAGTTTATTTTTATCCTTGTTGTCAATCTTAAGAGTTAATTAAACTGGTTATGGACTATAAGATAAATCCGCATCTTCACATTCTTCCCATTCATGTGATCTAGCACACGGCAACAATTAATTTTCGAGTTCTAACTCAAATTAAGACTAAGGAGTGGAGGATCGTTACAAATATTATTTTAACTATATGACCCTTGATCGATAAAATATATACATGAGATGTAAATAAAACAAAAAAAAATAATAATGTGGCGGATTATTTTCTTCTACTCATATTATACTTGGCCATTAAAAATCATTTCTTCGATGGATTAATTAGTATACAGGAATAACAACAACAACAACATATCCAGTATTATCTCACACCGTGGGGTTTAGGAAGGATAATGTGCATGCAGACCTTACCCCTACCTTGTGAGGATAGAGAGGTTGTTTCCAATATACCCTTGGCTCAGGAAAACATAAGCACCACATTAATGAATATATAGACAAGAAGAGACAATACCAAAAAGTCATATGAAAGCAGAATGAAAACAATAAGATAGTAAGATGATCAACAATGGAAGAAAACAACGGTTAGTCATAAACACCTACTACCAACAGAAAATGGGATTGCGTGCCAATACTACTGTTATGAACACTCTAGACTACCTAATCTACTACCCTAATCCTCGACCTTCATACCTTCCTATTAAGGGTCATGTCTTCGGTCAGCTAAAGCTGCGTCATATCTTGCCTAATCACCTCTCTCCACCTCTTCTTTGGCCTACCTCTACCTCTCCGTAGGCCCTCGGGCATCTGTGCTCCTCATCCTCACATGACCAAACCACCTAAGCCGCGTTTCTCGCATGTTGTCCTCAATAGGGGCCACACCCATATTGTCGCAAATAGCCTCATTTCTGATCCTGTCTAACCTGGTGTGCTCGCACATCCATCTCAACATCTTTATCTCTACTACCTTTATCTTATGGACATGAGCGATCTTGACTGGCCAACACTCAGCCCCATATACCAGCGTTTGTCTGACCACCACTATGTAGAACTTACCTTTAACTTTCGGTGGTGCCTTCTTGTCACACAAAATACCGGAAGCGAGTTTCCATTTCATCCATCCCGCCCTAATATGATGTGTAATAGCTTCATCAATCTCCCCATACCCCCTGAATAATAGGCTCGAGGTACTTAAAACTCCCTCTCCTAAGGATGGCATGTGCGTCCAACCTCACTTCCCCTTCCACTCCTTGAGTCTTACCACTAAACTTATACTCCAAGTATTCTGTCTTGGTCCTGCTCAACTTGAAACCTTTAGATTTTAGGGTCTGCCTCCATACCTCTAATTGCACGTTCATACCGTCTTGCGTCTCATCAACCAATACAATATCATCTACAAATAGCATGCACCACGGCACCTCTCCTTAGGTGTGGCGCATCAGTGCATCCATCACCAGAGCAAACAAAAAAGGTTGATGTGGACCCCTGATGCAGCCCCATAATAACTAGAAAATGGTCCAAGTCCCTTCCCACTATTCCCACTTGAGTCTTTACTTCATCATACATATCTTTAATAAACCAAACTTCGGCAATAGGCACACCTCTAGCCTCCAAACATCTCCGTAAAACCTACCTCAAAACTTTATATGCCTTTTCTAAGTCGATGAACACCATATGCAAGTCCTTCTTTCTCTCCCTATACTGGTCCATCAATCTCCTAACAAGGTGGATAGCTTATGTAGTCGAACTCCTTGGCATAAATCCAAAGTGGTTCTCGGAAATAGACATACTCATCATCACCCTTAGCTTTACCATTCTCTCTCCGACTTTCATAGTATGGCTAAGCAGCTTGATATCCCGATAATTATTGCAATTTTGGATATCACTCTTATTCTTATATACAGGAACCATCGTGTTATACCTCCACTATTTAGCATCTTCTTGTTCTAAAAATGACATTAAATAACCTAGTGAGCCACTCCAATCCTGCTTTGCTCGCACTCTTCTAAAACTCTTCTAGAATTTCATTCGGCCCTGTCACTTTATTCTTGCTCATCTTACACATAGCCCCCTCAACTTCATCAACTCTAATCTTCCTACAATACCCAAAGTCACAATGACTCCCAGAGAAATTTAAATCACCTAGTATAATGCTCATGTCCCCCTCTTTGTTCAAGAGACTATGGAAGTAGGTCTGCCATCTCCGACAGATAATCCCCTCATCCAACAAAACTCTACCTTCTTCGTCTTTGATGCACTTTATTTGGTTCAAGTCACGCGCCTTTCCTTTCTCCCGCCTTGGCTAACCTGAAAAACCTCTTATCCCCACCTCGGCCCTCGAGTTCCTTATACAAACGACTAAAAGCTGCAGCCTTGGCCGCCGTAATTGCTAGCTTTGCCTCTTTCTTAGCCAACTTATCATGCTCCCTATTCGCCCTTTTCTCCTTCTCGTCTACACTTTCTGCTAGCTTTAGATACGCTGCTTTCTTCGTATCCACTTTTTCTTGCACCTCTCCATTCCACCACCATTTTCCCCTGTGACAACCAGAGTAACCCTTTGAGACCCCTAATACCTCTCTTGTGACTTCCCTAATGCATTGCGCAGTCGTGGTCCCCATAGCATTTGCGTCCCAACTACTCCTCTAAGTCCCCACAGTCACTAGCTTGACCCCTCACTCATACTCTTTAGCTTCCGTCAAGGCTCCTCACTTGATCTTATGTTGGCTATATATCGCCCTCTTCCTTATGATCTCAAGGTCCATGAGCCTATTAAGGGTCGTGAGGTTCTCACTTGTGATGACCTTATAATCCATGAAAAGACCTCTATCAGACTTCATACAGAGTAAATAATCAATCTGAGTCTCGGTCACCGAACTCCAGAAGGTGACTAAGTGCTCCCTCTTCTTCGGAAAACTCGAGTTTACTATCACCAAATCAAATACTATAGCAAAGTTCAGCAGAGACGTTCCTCCTCTATTTTCATCTCCAAAACCAAAGTCATCATGCACATCATCATACCTTCAGACGTCGCTCTGATGTGGCCATTGAAATCTCCTCCTATGAAAAGCTTCTCGGTATGCAGGATACCACGCACCATCTCATTCAAATCCTCCCAAAAATGCCTTTCGGCTTCCTCATCCAAGCCTGTTTGGGGTGTGTATGTACTAATATTGTTCAAAGTAAAACATCCAACAACTAGCTTAATAGTCATCAGCTTGTCATTCACCCTCCTAACCTCCACCACTAGTTCACGGAGGTCCTTATCAACCAAGATACCTACCCCGTTCCTGCCCTCCACCCTTCTAGAATACCAAAGTTTGAAACTGCCTACTTCCCGCACTTATCTCATACCCACCTAGTCTTCTCTACATAAGATATATTAATCTTCCTTTTCTCGAGAATCTTCACTAAGTCTATAGATTTTTCAGTCAGAGTTCCTATGTTCCAAGACTCCACTCTCAGCCTAGTAGCTACCTTAGCCCTCTTACCCCCTTAACCCCTCCCCAGCGCTGACGCCCCCGAGGACAAGACCTTACCCTACCATCGTTCACCAAAGCCACTATAATCTAGGAGTCACTACGTAAGCATTATCCCGAAAAACAAGCGACAAAAATAAAATGAATAACTGAAATATGATCTAACATTAAAGGTCGCAAAACAAGTGAAGAAATAAAATAAAGAAACTAACGGGAACTATAATCTACAACTGAAGGTCACAAAACAAGTGAAGAAATAAAACAAAGGAACTAAAGGAACTATAATCTACAACTAAAAAATAGAAAACATGTGAAGAAATAAAACAAAGAAACTAAATGAACTAATCTACAACAAAATGATAGAAAAATAGGTGAATAAATACAATACAAGAGCTAAAGAGGGCTACAATCTATAACTAAAGGTCACAAAGAAAATGTGCAAAACTAGAACAGAACTACTAGAGGATATTTGAAATAATGATTCAAAATAAAGATGTAAACAGGTAGATAACAATATAAACAAGTAGGCAAAACTATCATTAATGTAATTAATTCGATAATGCTAGGGCAAATACTAACTAAAGATTCAAGAACAAAATAGGCAGACAAGGAGATACAATTATGTTAAAATATCAAATTATTAAACTATCAAGACAAGTGAGGAACAATAAAATTTGGATTGCAGCCCTCGAAGTTAACGAAAATCTGGTCGGTAGTGATGGATTGCGACGAGCCGGAGCATTACTCTATGTATTGCTCGTTCAAATAGGAAGAAGAAACTTATAGTAATATTTATTAACTACTTCTTTGTGACGATATATTTTTTGATTTTTCATCCGGTATCCCACTCGACATTATAAATATATACTCCATTTGTTTCAAATTAGATGACACACTTTTTTTATTAGTCCATTTTAAAAAAAGATATATTTATATAATTATCAATAATTCGAATTTAAACTTTTCATTTTATCCATTTTACCATTAATAATTTTTTTTTTATAATCACACATATATCATTGGGCTACAAAAATTTTACATTTTAAATTTTAAGATCACAAGTTTCAAATATTCTTTTTTTACTTAAACTTGATGCGGACTCAAAAGACATCATCTAAATTGAAACAAGTATTTGAAAAGGTAATCAACTGATCCCCAGCCACTTATCCGTCATAGCAAAGGAAGAAGGAAGAGGGAAAAAGGGTATCAAATAAGCAAGGTCAAAATGTAAGTGGAGTGAGTGGGTTACTGGTTAAAGTAACAGAAGATGAAAAGTAAAAGTCAGTTTGGCTATAAGAAGTCTTTTGCAGTAAAAGCTAAACACATCGTACGATCTTCTCATGATCTATCGACCAGGCACTAGTCACAGTACTGTAAAATATCAGAAAACTCTGATTAGCCTAGGGGCATAAAAAACTCCTACACTAGTATAATAATTAGGTGTGATTTGTTTACAGAAAACTTTAGTTTATGGATTTCCGTATAAGTTGTCAGAGACAATAGCTGCCATAAAAGCAGAATAGTTGCAGCAGTTGTAGATACAACAGAGACCCCTCTCACTCATTATATTTTGCACAGAAGACACTGTTCAGAGAGCCCCAGTGTGTGAATGTAAGTGAGAGAAAGAAAAAAAGGAAAAAAAGATAACAATAATATTATGATCAGAACCATTAGTTTTATCCATGTACATAAGATTCTGCAACCCAAATGGTCCCTTAAATAATATTAATCTCTCTGTCCCATTTATGTGATGTTATTTTCTCCTTGAGAGTTAAATTAATTATTCTTTTATAATATATAATATTTTTACGTAATTTTGAAATGTTCGTTTTATTTCAACACACTATCCTCTCTTTGGAAATAACTTTAGATCTGCGTACACACATTAATGGCAATACACTAGGTTTGTTATTGTTATTTCAACAATAATAATAATAACATATTTAGTGTGATCTTATAAGAGGAGTCTGTGGAGCATAGAGTATACGAAGATTTTACCCTAACCTTATGAAAGATAAATAAATTATTTTCAATAGTGAGTCGAGAAAAATATTTTCAAAATAGATTTTAAAAATATAAGAGTATCAAATACACTATTAAAATTAAGAAATTTAAATATCGAAAAATGAAGTGTGTCAAATAAATATGGACAGTGGGTTAGTATTGCCTTGCCTACTATACTATATATTCTCTTCCCAAAAGAGCTCCTTTTATTCAGTACACCACTCTCCTTTTCTCTTCTCAAATATTTAGTGATATTTGTGATCAATGATGAGTACTGCAGCAAGAAGTCGATTTCCATTCACAGCAAATCAATGGCAAGAACTTGAACATCAAGCTCTTATTTACAAGTACATGGTTTCTGGAATGCCTGTTCCACCTGATCTTCTTTATACTATCAGAAGAAGCATGGATTCTTCCCTTTCGTCAAAGCTCGTTCTCCACCAACCTCACCACAGTACTCTTCTTTCTTCACCCTATTTCATTATTTCAAAATTCTCACAAAAACAAGTCAAAGTATTGATCTTTATGCATAAAATCTTGTACCAATATGTTGCATCTTTCTCTATACATATATGTTTCTGTTGTGTTGTGTTTGGACATTATTTGTAAAGATTGGACTTTTTAAATGTTGCTCACAAGAATGAGTCAAAGTAATGTAAAGATCTTTATGCATACAGTTCTTGAAATATGTACTCCCTCCGTCCTTTGTTTCAGTGCTTGACTCCACACAGAAAGAAAGAGTGCCACATAGATTGGAGCGGATCGAAAATTTGTTGCATCTTTCTGTATACAGGGGTACATATATGTTTCTGTTATGTTGTGTTTGGTCATTATTTGTAAAGATTGGGTTTTGTTTCAGTTTACTCACAAGAATGAGTCAAAGTAAAGATCTTTATGCATATAATTCTTGAAATATGTACTCCCTCCATCCTATATTGCGGTGTTTGACTCAGCACGAAGAGAAAGAGTGACACATATATTGGGATGGAGGGGTAGCATCTTTTTGTATATAGGTGCCAAAAGATTGGAATTTTTTAGTTTACTCCCAAAAAATAACTCAAAGTAAAGATCTTTATGCATGAAATCTTGAAGTATGTACTCCCTCCATCCTGTGTGGTAGTGTTTGACTTGGCCTGGCGAGAAAGAGTGTCACATATATTGGGATGGAGGGAGCAGTATCTTTTTGTATGTAGGCGTATAAACACTGGATTTTTTAGACTCCCAAAAATAAGTCAAAGATGAGATCTTTATGCATGAAATGTTGAAATATGCACTTGTGTTAGATCATCTTTTTTTATAAAAATTGGATTTTTTTGTTGTTGGTGTAGTTGGATGGAACTGTTTTCAAATGGGATTTGGGAAGAAAATAGATCCAGAGCCAGGGAGATGTAGAAGAACAGATGGTAAAAAATGGAGATGTTCAAAAGAAGCTTATCCAGATTCCAAATACTGTGAAAGACACATGCACAGAGGCAGAAACCGTTCAAGAAAGCCTGTGGAAATTATGACAACAACATCAACTAACACATCAACAACAACAAGACCTATTTCTACTGCTACTAATACTACAGCTCCAACAGCAATTTCCATCTCATCAATCAACAAAAACACAAACAATATTTCCTCTTCTAGCCCCACTTCTTCCCTTCACTCTTTTTCTTATTTGTCATCAACTCATGAACCCCACCAATATCCTTTCCTTTATCCTCATTCTTCTTCCTCTAGACCATCCCCTGCTGCCATTGGTTTGGAATCTTCTGCTTACTCCAGGTTTAACTTCTGACTTGACATCTTTAATTTGTCATGTGACGTGGTTTGACTTGGTGTAGAGTTAAGTAAAAAAAAATGATTTTTGAAATTTGTGATTTTTCGGCCATAACATTATGTACATTTTTAATTTGTCAAATTGTTAAATTTATATGGCATCGATTGACTTTGTATGAAGTTCAAGAAAAACTATTTTTTTAAGATTTGTAATTTTAAAGCCAAGGTGAAGCAGGGAATTTGGGTGTTCAAGATTTAATACTCATATAAAAAATAACTTTTGATATATATATAATATAAGTTTTTATATAAATAGTAGTAAGTGTTCAGATGATCACCCTTCAATGTATGTGTTTACGCCACTACTTAAAGCCATGACATGTAGTGCCCATAAAAATATATCATTAAGAGCAAAACAAAATTTTTAAAGAAAAGTATCATTCCTTTAGGAGGAGTGTCACACAAAATGAAAGAAAGTACATAGTACTTGATTTATTTATGTATAAACTTGAGGTTTTTGGTTAAATTATGGTTTACAGAAATGGATATGGAGATGGAATGAAGGAGGATGTAGATGAGCATATTTTCTTCTCAGAAACTTCAGGGACAGTGAGAAGTACATGTGGTTCAAATTCAGTGGATGATACTTGGCAATTATCTCCATTAACAATGGCTTCACCAATGAAACAGAGGACTTACTCTCTATCACAGAATACAGGACACTCAGCTTCTTCTTACTTACAACTTCAAAGCTTAAATGAATCATCAAAAGATCATCATCATCAGTATTATAATGATGCCAAAAGTATAAAATTAGAGACAGAAGATCAGCAGCACCAGCCTAAGAAAGTAATGCACCATTTTTTTGATGAATGGCCAAAAGACAACAAAGATTCTTGGCTTGATTCTGAGGATAAATTTTCAGGCCTTTCCAAAACTCAACTCTCAATTTCAATACCAAATCCCTCACATGACTTCTTCATCACTACTAATGGTAAATTATCAAGATTTCTTTTTCATTTGATAACTTTTACGTGGTCTGAGGGAGCCTTGGAGCAATTGTAAAGTTGTTTTCGTATAATCTATAAGATCTCGTTTGGATTGGCTTAAAAAAGTGGGATTTCATCAAAAATAGCTTTTAAGCCAAAAAACAATAAGTTGGGGTTACCTTGCTTATTGTTTTTGGCTTGTTTTAAACACTTTTAAAACTTTGCCTAACATTGGAAAAAAAGAAGCTAAAAAGAGCTTAAAAGCCGATTTGACCAGCTTAAAAGTCAATCCAAACACGCTCTATGTCACGTGTTCGAGCCGTGGAAGCAGCCATTAATAGTTGCATTAGGATAGACTGTTGCCCTTTCCCAACCCTGTATGAATACAAGATTCTTCGTGTATCAGGTTTTTTATTTTTTATGTCAACTTTTACATGGTTATGGCCAAAACATTTCTGTTTTGACCAGAATAGTTTATCTTTGTTTTTGCAGAGAAATGAGCTTTGTGAATCAAAGAAGTGGCCAAAAGAGTACTAACTACTTCAATGGTGGTGGGGCGGTGCTTATTCTGATGTAACTTTCCGTATACCATGTGTTGTGTGTTCTGAAAAAACTGTTTTTTTTTTTCTTATTTATATAAGTGTAGTAGTACTTTAAATTACAAGTATGTGGTGTTTGGCTAACTGAGCTATTTCACATGGTAATATTTGGTTGTCAGCAGCATTGTATTCCTTTCCCCTCCCTAACATTACTACTACTATTGTATTTGTTATGTTTGAATTCGTTGAGCTGACTCAGGTTTCTGCTATTTTTGCCACATGTTGGGATGTTTTTATGAGTCTATATGACGTGTTAAATATCTTCTTCTGGTCTTTTTCTGGTGTTGCTTTCAACGACTACTTTAAACTTTTGCTTAATTACTATTGAACTAGTGCTGATCCACAGTTTTTTGTTTTGTTTTCTACTTATGGCATTTGGTACTAGTGATAAGAAATAATTAATTGTGGAATTAAATTTGAGATGAATTTATTTTATGTTTGATTGCGATAAAGTTACGGTATAACTAATATCGGGACAGTTGTCTTGGAATTGTAGTGTTATTTTTATCTCAATGGAAATGGAAGGATGGGATAACACTTCCGAGATAACTAATTGATATGATGTCCATCTCATTCAAATGATTTGATAGCCAATTTTGTTGACTTGGTTTGGTTTGGTAGACAACCTTGTTGAATTTGTATAATTTTGGTAACCAATTTTATTGACTTGGTTTGGTTTGGTAGCCAACCTTGTTGAAATTGTAAAAAGGGTGTGTAAATTATCAAATATTGTAGGCTTTAGAGAGTGAGGTTTTGGCTATAAAAGGAGAGCTTTAACTCTCATTTCTACACACCAACAAAGAGAGAAAAGAGAGAGCAAGGTATTCCATAAACTATAAGAAAATAGTTTGTGAAGAAAAATAGAGTGTGACAGATATTGTAGTGAGGTGGAAAAAGCAAAGGAGTTTTTATTTCTTTTGAGGGTGTAGTGGTCTTAGGAGTATTTTTTACTCGTTACTACACAGTGTAAAATTCCTCGCTATAGTGATATCAGTTGCTCTTCTTGGCCGTGGTTTTTTCCCTTATTCAGAAGGGTTTCCACGTAAAATCTTGGTGTCATTATTGCTGCATTTCTATTCTTGCTGATTTAACCATAACTTAGTGTTCTGCGTTTATCACTAATACCGTGAATACTATTTTTACGGGGTTTATTCCCAACAAGTGGTATCAGAGCCAAGGTTCTATCTGAGTATGCTCTGTGGTTGCAGCACAGTCTGAACTTCCACATCAGAAAAGAATTACTTTGGTCTCCTAATAAATAGTATTTGTATTTGTGATAAACGATGGAAGCCAACACTAGTAGAATGGTTACCTTGAATGGCACAAATTATGCCATTTGGAAGGGCAAAATGGAAGATTTGCTCTATGTCAAGAATTTTCATCAACCTGTCTTCGCCACTGTAAAGCCTGATAATAAATCAGATGAAGAGTGGAATCTGTTACACAGGCAGGTTTGCGGCTTTATTAGACAGTGGGTTGACGATAATGTTTTGAACCATATTTCTGGGGAGACACATGCTCGGACCCTATGGGAGCACCTTGAAAGTTTGTATGCTCGGAAAACTGGAAACAACAAGATGTTTCTGATAAAGCAGATGTTGGGTTTAAAATACCACGATGGTTCCGCGATGACAGATCATCTGAATAATTTTCAGGGGATCATGAACCAGTTATCTGCTATGGGCATTAAATTTGATGAAGAAATTCAAGGCTTGTTTCTACTTGGTTCCCTACCAGATTCTTGAGAAATTCTTAGAACTTCATTATCAAATTCTGCTCCGGATGGTGTGATCTCTATGGATCTTGCCAAGAGCAGCCTTCTAAATGAAGAGATGAGAAGAAAATCTCAGGGTTCCTCCTCATCAGATGTCTTGGTGACTGAATCTAGGGGGAGAAGCAAGAATCGGGGTTCTCAAAATAGAGAACATAATAGAAGCAAATCCAGAAGCAGACTTAAANATTATTGCTGCATTTCTATTCTTGCTGATTTAACCATAACTTAGTGTTCTGCGTTTATCACTAATACGGTANCGGATTTTGAAAAAGGAGAATAAAGACAAGGAAGAACAGAAAGAAGATGGCAATCGTGTGGCCATCGTCACTACAGAAGATCTTGTTACAGTCCTTGATGCTAATCTGATAAATATTGCTTGTGATGAGTCAAGCTGGGTTGTGGACAGTGGTGCCGCATCTCATGTGACATCAAGGAAGGAATTTTTCTCATCATATNATGGAAGCCAACACTAGTAGAATGATTACCTTGAATGACACAAATTATGCCATTTGGAAGGGCAAAATGGAAGATTTGCTCTATGTCAAGAATTTTCATTAACCTGTCTTCGCCACTGTAAAGCCTGATAATAAATCAGATGAAGAGTGTAATCTGTTACACAGGCAGGTTTGCGGCTTTATTAGACAGTGGGTTGATGATAATGTTTTGAACCATATTTCTAGGGAGACACATGCTCGGACCCTATGGGAGCACCTTGAAAGTTTGTATGCTCG